TTAGTTGCATGAAATATCTTTTTCCATCGCTTCACTTTTAGTCTTTGTATGTCTTTGAGTTTGAAGTGAGTCTCTTGTAGGCAGCATGTAGTTGGGTCTTGTATTTTTATCCATTAAATGACTCTATGTCTTTTGGTGCGTTCAGAGCATTTACATTTAGAGTGGTTATCGATAGGTAAGTACTTATTACCATTGCAGGCTTTAGATTCGTGGATACCAAAGGTTGAAGGGTAACTTCCTCACTAAGAGTCTAACTCAACTCACTTAGTATGCTATTACAAACTCAATCTAAAGGTCCTTCCCCCCCTCCTTTTCTTCCTCCTCTGTTCTTTATTTATAGGGCATCATATTCTGTACTCTTTGTATATTCCTTTTTATTATCTCTGGTGACAGCTGTTTAACCTTAGGAACACTTCCATCTATTGCAGTCCCTTCAAAATACACTGTAGAGACGGTTTGTGGGAGGTAAATTCTCTCAGCTTTTGCTTATCTGGAAATTGTTTAATACCTCCTTCAAATTTAAATGATAACTTGCTGGATAGAGTATTTTTGGTTCAAGACCCTTCTGCTTCATTGCATTAAATATATAATGCCACTCCCTTCCGGCCTGTAAGGTTTCTGCTGAGAAGTCTGATGATAGCCTGACGGGCTTTCCTTTGTATGTGATCTTTTTTATCTGTCTGGCTGCTTTTAATTGTATGTCCTTATTCTTGATCTTTGATATTTTTATTATTATATGTTTTGGTGGTGTCGTCCTTGGGTCCCTTGTTTTGGGAGATCTGTGGATCTCCATGGCCTGAGAGACCTTATCTCCTTCCCTAGATTGGGGATGTTTTCAGCAATTAACTTCCTCAATGACACTTTCTATTCCCTTTTCTCTCTCTTCTTCTTATGGAACCCCTATAATGCAAATATTGTTCCGTTTGGATTGGTCCCACAGTTCTCTCAATATTCTTTCATTCCTAGATATCCTTTTTTCTCTCTGTGTCTCAGCTTCTTTGTGTTCCTCTTCTCTAATTTCTATTTCATTTATCGTCCACTGTATCTAATCTGCTTTTAATACCCTCCTTTGTGTTCCTCAGTGATTGGTTCTCCGTTGTAAATTCGTTCCTGAGTTGTTGACTATGTTTCTGTACCTTCATGATCATGTTTATGATTTTTATTTTGAAATCTCTTTCAGGAAAATTTACTTGTTCAATCTCACTTGATCATTTCTCTGGTGTTAAGATTTTGGTTTGAACCCGGTTCCTTTGATGTTTCATATTTGTATGTGGCACCCTCTAGTGCCCAGAAGCTCTACTCACTGGAGCTCCTCAGTCCCTGGAGTGATGTCGGAGTTCGCAGGGGAGTGGCTCTGTTGCCTGGCTAGGAGGGAAGAGCTGTTTCCTCCTTCCCGGCTGCTATGCCTGTCTCCACTGCCAGAACCAGTGGGCTGAAGACACAGGTGTAAGTGTCTGTGCTTTGCGTTTGTAGCTGCTGTAGGTGGGCCTTGCTTCTCACTGGCCTGACGCCAGGGCAGCGTTTGCCAATTTGCAAGCCAGGTACAGGATGGCTGGGAGAAAGGTGGAGCTTGCTGCATGTCATGGTTGGAGGCCTTGGAGCTGGGTATCCAGCCACATGGGGATGGAGCGCCTGAAGATAGTGAAAGTTCCCAATATGCTGGGCAGAATGCACCCAGACAATTTTGTTTACTTGTCCTTTCTCCTGCTCAGGAAGCTCTGTGCAATCCTTGCCCCTTTAGCATCCCCCACTTTTAGGAAGTCTCTCAGACTACCCGCTCAGATCAGCTGGATATGGATCTCTGTTTTCCACAAGCAGCTGAAATCTTAAGTCTCTTCAGGTATTCTGCCTGTCTTAGCTTTCCAACCCCACAGATCACCAGAGCAGCATGCAATGTAGGTTCGTGCTCCTAGAGCATATCTCCAGGACTAGGTTTTCAGCATGTCCAGACCTCCACTCCCTCCTCGCTGTTTCTCTTCCTCCTGCCTGTGATCTGGGGTGGTGGAAGAGCTTGGGTTCTGCCAGGTCATGGCTTTGGTACATTACCCTATTCCATGAGGTCTGTTCTTTCCTCCAGGTGTATGGATCTGGCGCAGCCTTCTTTATTGTTGCTCTTTCAGGATTAGTTGAATTAATTATATTTTCGTATCATATGTGGTTTTAGGATGAGGTCTCTGTCTCACCTCTCACACTGCCATCTTTATTAGTTCTTTTTATAAAAACAAAATGTACTAATTAATGTGACACACCTGTACTTAGTACTGTTTTACACATGTAAGCTCAATTAAAAATTATATAGCCATTGAGTTTTGGTGATTTAACATACACTCTTACAAATGTTTAAAGAAATGCTGTAAGAACACGCTAATAACAACCCTGCCATTGGGGCTAATGAAATATATATGTTATTTTAGTCCCAACAGTCTACACTGTAGAAAGGAGTTTTGTTTCACTGGGGTATAATAGGGTCAATTACTAGCAGATGAATAACCTACAGTTCATTTATTAGCATTTCATTTTCTTTTCAGGCGCATATTAAATTTCCTATTGACTACCCATATTCACCACCTACCTTCAGATTCTTGACCAAAATGTGGCACCCCAACATTTATGAGGTAAGAGACGTCTATTATGAATTTCTCTGAAGGTTTTTTAAGATACAGTCCTTGAAAATAACCTCTACGTATCAGTATGCTGTGGTAGTTATGTTGTAACCTCAAATAAATATTCATGGTTTCCGATTTTTAGTTAGTTGTCTCTAGTTTAATTGTTGAAAGTTGAGGGAGTTTTTTAATACCAACCAGTATATGTTATAGTTAATTTAAGTTTAAGGCTTTAAACCTTTGTTGCTCATTCCTAAGATTATAAAACATATGTGTTAACATTTACAGTTTTTAAATTAACAGATAAGATTATGCAAATTTTTTAAGTTATGCATTAAAAAATTAAAGTATGATTGATAAACAGTCTTATATTGGTTTCAAATATGCAACACAGTGGTTCAACAGTTACCCACATTATTAGATCCTCACCCCTCTAGTGCAGTCACTATGTGTTGATGTAGTGAGATGTTACAGAACCATTATTTTATTCTCCATGCTGTACTACCATCCCCGTGATGAACCTATATTATGATTGTGAATTATTATGCCCCTTAATCCCCTTCCACCTCCCCATCCCCTTGCCCTTAGTAACCACTAGTCCCTTCTCCGTGTCTATGAGTCTATTGATGTTTTGTTTTTATACTCCACAAATAAGTGAAATCATTTGGTATTTGTCTTTCTCTGCCTGGCTTATTTCACTGAGCATAATACCCTCTAGATCCATCTATGTTGTTGCAAATGGGAGGATTTGTTTTTTATGTCTGAATAATATTCCACTGTGTCCATGTACCACATTTTCTTTACCCATTAAAGATAATACAGATTTATTTGTTTACCTATACTCTAGTTTCACAGCAAGGGTTACCTTCATCAGAGATTCAGCTTTGAGGGTGGGGATGTAACCTACTATATTTGGACTGGCCTCCTTTCAGGAGTTGCTGCAGAGCAGTTGAGAGCCTTTTTCAATCCCAAGGTGAGATTCTTCTAATGGATAAGTCTGCATAGCTGGGGGAGTCATTTCTAGTTTTGTTAATGAAATATACTTTAACTTTGAGCTAATCTGGAATAGAATGCTGCCTTATCTTTCTCAGGATAATTATGTCAGGGCCCTTTAAAACATTCTTTGAGCCCACTTTACCATTCTGTAATCTCTTTCATTGCACTGGTTCTGAAGCTTTCTCATTATATCATAGGTCGTGGCCCAAGCATTAAAATTCCTTTTTAAAATTTGCATCTTTAGTCGTGTAGTGCTTTTTTTGGCCTGGTGGTTATTGGGTAGCATATTTGCTCCAGAAACAGAGCTGCATAGCTTTCAAAATGCTTGTAGGGAAGAAATGGAGATCTTACTCTAGGATCCTGAATTTGTATCTCAGTCTGTGTAAATTAGCACATTGGAGCAGCTTTGTTTTTCATAACCTGCTTTTTCTGTAAAGCATAATCTTCATTTTTCTTTCCTTCTTAAAACAGGCCAAACTAGTGTTCAAAGGTGATACATAGTTATATTTTTAGAAATAAATCCTGGAATATCGGGGGTTTGTTTTGTTTTCATATCTTTAGTATTTGATGTAATCACAATTATAAATGAATAATAGTGACTCCCTTATACTGTTCTATAGAATAACGTTATCCTGTTGTAGGAGACACTATAGAAATAATTCACTGTTTCCTAAGTTCTGAGTTCAGTGCACATAGCAATATTTCTGTATCCCTATCTATTTCATAAACAAAAGTTCTGTGTTCAAAACTGTAGTATATGTAGATTTCAGATAACAAGAGAGAAGTGAGGAGACTAAAGCTTTTGTCTTGCTATTGAGAACGAATTCACCTTAATCCCATATACATACCTGTTTTTATTCATTTATGTAATTCCCACACCCTTCTCAAAAAGAAACAAAAAACCATAAAGGATTCAGAGCTGTGAAGGAGGAAAATATATGTAGATAATTCCCCTTTCCACTGTTTTTTTTCACTACTAGGCTATTTAGTTGTATCTCTTTTAAGATTTAGCTTGGATCTTTTTTTAAAATGTTTTTCATATTCATAATTGTTACAATAAAATAATTCATACAGATATTAATATACAGTTTTCCATGCCATAAATGTTTTTAAAGAAGTGATCTCCTAATTAGGAATTAAATTTGATGTATTCAAAAGGGTCATAACATACTCTTCTCCCATAAGTTAGTTTATCCTCTGAAATTGATATCAGAATTGAACTTTTTGAGGGCCTATGTCAGGGTTTCTGATTCTAGAGATTGAGGCTCCTGGTTCTTGGCCAAAGGACTCACTACTCACCCACCAATGTTGCCACTTTCGGTAGACATACAGTGAACCTCAATGTCAGTTGCTCTAGTCATCAGTGTTTACTGCAGTTATTTATAATAGAACTGGAAGTGGTGGGGAAGCAATGATAATAACAGCAGCAAATCAGAAGTACAAGCCCAAAGACCTGTTCAACTGCCAAAATATTGGAATTGATTGAAGAGTTTTTGGTATATTAACTTCATGAGCATTAAAAAGAAGTATTATAAAGGCCATTAGTGGTAGAAAATAGTTCATTATGTCAAGTTTTAAAAGTCACAAGAGCTTTCCTTGCAGTTTTGTTAAATATATGCACATAGATGTATTTTGTATAACAAAGGGTTATATATACTGCTGTTATAGGAGTGAATTTAATTATTTTAACATTTCTTTTATCATTGCCGTTCTTGTAAAATTTACAAATATCAGGGGGAACATAGAGAAAAAAGAAACTTTAATATGTTGAATGAGCTAAAAAACAGTTTCCTGTGTTTCTGTGCTCAGAAGTTGACAGCCAACAAACCCCATTTGCTCCACAAATCATGTATTAAAATGAGGTTTTCATACTCTTCACTGTGAACTTTGCATCATGACAACTCAATCTCAGTGCTCTTCAGTATTATTTATTTGAAAAATTTTTAATAGACTAATTTTTAAAGTAGTTTTTGGTTTACTGCAAAATTGAGGGGATGTATGCAGAAGTATTTAATATTTTGTGATTCTTTTAAATCAGTTTGTAGAATATATTATGGAGCTTTATTTTTGAAAGTGTGAGAAACACACTCACTGGTCTAAATTCAATAAGTGGACATGGAGACAAAGAGAACAGCGGAGCGAGGCTTTAATGACGGTCTTTCAAGATCGAGTGTCTGGTGGGCAGGCACACCTGGGGAGTTTGGCGCCAATAATTTACCTCCTAGTGCACGAGTCCCTCCCCTGGTTCCTCATTGGCTGAGTACTACAGGGTTCAGTCTTCCCCGGAGGTCGCCTAAGCTCATTATATCTTTCCTTTACATGTCTTATTCTTATTGGTAGGTTTAAAAAAACTCAAACAGGTATTGCCAGGCCGTTATCAATTTCTCCACCCCCTCTCAGCCTGAGCAGCTTCTACCACGTGGCCCTTTGTTAATACCTTACTGTTAAAATGTTTAAACATCCTAGTGGGAATAAATCACATTTAGGTTTTATACTCTTTCCTAACAAAAGTAAGAAGTATTTTGAATGTTTTGGAAGGAGTATAGACATTAATTTTTTTGTGTAGAGTGTTCACAAATTAATGTCACCAATGCAGTCATGAAATAAAGATTACAGTAAGATACGGTATATCTTAGGCTACTTGGTGGCTCATATGAAAATATTTTGCCATTTCTCTTAAGAGTCTAGATCTTTCCTATATGTTGAATGAGCTAAAAAACAGTTTCCTGTGTTTCTGTGCTCGATTCTAGACCCAGATGACTCTCAGAGCACTATATTCATCTCTATAGCCAGCCACCAGCATTTGAAGATGTACCAGTTTGGCTACTAATCCCCTGTAATTAGGGTAGGGTATTTTTTTAAATGTTACTGTTTTGATAATTATTAAAAATAGGCTCTACTGTTGTAATATGCTTTTTTTTCTAAGACGCGTTGTCTTAGCTTGGGCTGCCATAACAAAAAAGCATGAATAGGGTAGCTTAAACAACTAAGTGTATTTTTTTCACAGTTCCAGAAGCTAAAAGTCCATTGTTAAGGTGCCAGCATAATTGCTTCCTGAAGACCGTCTTCGGCTTATCTCTGTGTCCTCATGTGGTTTGGCGGGGAAAGAGCATAAGAGCAAGCAATGTGTACATTAGTGCTAGCTCTCTGGTGTCTCTTATAAAATTTTTAAAAGGTTTTTGCCAAGTCTGCAGAAAGATTGAATTTTTAAAATAGAATTTAGGCTACATAAGTAGCATAAACCAATTGCACATAGTTTATGATCTTTGTAATTATTTAGATGGATGATAGGCCATTAAGAGTAAAATGGGTGAGACTTAAAATCAGCTTTTCAGAAACTGAAAAAACTGGAAGAGGTTGCTTACAATAAAGCCATAATTATAAATTATATTTTAACATTACACAGTAAAGACCAGGTAAAAGCAAGGATACTGTGTTAGGGTTCTCCAGAGAAAAAGAACCAATAGGAAATATGGAGATACATGTGAGAGGAGATTTATTGTAGGAATTGGCTCACATGTTGTAAAGACTGACAAATCCCACAGTCTTCCCTCCTCAAGCTATAGGAACAGGAAAACTGGAAGTATAAAATTCAGTCCAAGTCCAAAGGCCTGAGAGTCACATGAACCATTGGAGGCCAAAGGCCCAAGAACTGGGGAGCTGCTGGTGTTGGTCCGAAGGCCCAAGCCCCAGGAGTTCCAATGTCCCAGCTCAAGAAGAGAGAGAGAATTTGTCCTTCCTCCACCTTTTTTGTTCTGTTCAGGCCCTTGATGGGTTGGATGATGGCTGCCACAGTTGGTGAAAGACTATTCTTTTACTCAGTCTAATTCAAATACTGATCTCTTTTGGGAACACCCACACAGACATACCCAGAAGTAACTGAGCTAACTGAGCATCCCTTAGCCCAGTTGACACACAAAGTTACCCATCATAGGTACCTTCTCTTTCTATATTCTGGGCACATTATGCTCACAGGGGGTGTAATTTGACTGTAGGTCCATGAGTCCTTGAAGTAACAAGATGTCTTGTAATAAGGGTTTTTACTCCCTTGCTTGGTGAAATTGCCTTTAGATACTAAAATAAATGGTAGCTCAACTGGTTCTGCTTCATCTCTTTTGCTCATTTAACATGTATTTCTTCATCTTTGATTAAACTGTTGTTATTCGTTTTCTCTGATTAGTGGAATTATCTGGTAGATCTGTGGTATTTCTGTAATTTCTTTGAGAACTTATTTTAATGGTTATTCCACCTAACAATCAAATAATGAAAGCAAGGAAACCACATTAGAATTGATTACAGAGTTTTAATATTGCATTCTCAGTTGATCTTCAGTACTAGGACAGACTGCTTAAGTTATTATTTCTAATGCATTTCATATAAATTTTTAATATAAAACTTTGAAATTGCAATGTTTTGGTATTATAAACATACTGTACTCATTAAATTTAAATCCACTTTAACAAAATTATTTTGAAATGGTTAGACGTAGAGTTCAAAAACAGTACAGAAAGTTCTCATATACCTTTTACTTAGCTTCCTCTAATATTAATATTTTATACACCCATGATGCATTTATCAAAACTAAGAAACATACTATTAAGTAAACTACACTTAAAACATATATTACTTAACTCTACAAGAAGATATGTCAAAGAAATAATCAATCCTCCCATGTTTCCTTCCATATGCTACATCTATAGCTTTTCTTCTTTCTTCCTAATTACAACCCTTAAATAGAATTCGTGCCTTATATCGAATTTACCGAGTATCATAATTCCTCCAGGTGGTAAAGATACCTCGAGACAAGTGCTGGGCATAGAAGCCACAGGGCATAAATCTGCAAAGAAGTAAAAAGCTAACCTTTTCAAACAATATGGCTTCTCTCTCACTTACCAACTTTACATTTCCCTGTATGGCCCCGGAAGATGACTGGTTAGCCAGAGACGGGTAAGATTCCTCAAGGGAGGAACAACCTAA